AGTTGGGATATTTTTTTTATATATGGCAAAAGTTGGGGCATTTTTTTTATTCTCTCATTTAAGAATCTCATATCCAGCTAATTATACCATGTATTACGACAATTGGTTGGGTTCTCAACACTAAGCGATATGCTTTGCATAAGCACCAACTTTACGTCGTTGTTCGTCCAGCATTTGCCTCCATCCTAGACAAACACCTACTGAAATGAATTTGATTAAAAATTGTTTGTTGGTAGTGATGTTGTAAGTTTTGAACCAGTGCTTGTATGTTATAAGGTGAAGCTTGCATCATGACAAAATGTTTTGTAAGCACACGTTTTTCTGCTCCCTGATGATCAAACTTGATAGCTAAGACATTTTGCCCCAAAATGCGTGTGCTGGCCGGCTACAATTTTTCAAAACTCGAATTATGTTTTGAAGGTTTATGGTTGATCTTACTACACCTTACCCTAAAGAGCTAACAGCGGCTTCAAAAAGACACATATACCGGTAGCACCGATGCTATTGACGTCTGTGCCCGGTTGATATGGGTTTGTCGGGTCGAAACCATTTCCATTCCCCAACAAACTCTCCTCTACTTACCCTTCTTTTGCCAAATCTCAACATGGAGACGCGATTGTCTCCGTCCATGCAGGAGCTGCGCAACATCGCACGCGAGCGCGGTCTCAAGTATTACATGCACTTGTCCAAACCTGAGCTCTTCTCGCTGTTGCAACGCAAGGAAGGCGGTGGATCGGCTACAAAGCTCACAGTTGCATCTGAAACTGCTAAAGAGAATACTGTGCGCCGTAATGAATGCGCACTGACTGTTCGAACAGCGGCAACACGCGTTAGTGAACGACTTATTTCTTACAACAAGAAGCGCAAGGCGATAGACAATGCAGACGACAGAAAGAAAGCGAAGGTGGTCATCAATACACTCGATCCCATTATGCTCACGGAGCTTGGTCCACATACAGTGCGTCAAACAAGAGAAAGCGGAGGATTTTGACATGTTGAAAATTACTGACGTTATCCTTTTTATGTATAGTTTGAGTTTACAAGGACAAATGGGTCCGTAGTGATGTACAACGTGGAGTCGCTAGTGCAATACATTCTCGCAACGGGTGACTTTTCGGAGCCGGAAACGCGAATTGCGTTTACAGATGAAGACCTGCATCGAATGGATATTGAGGTATCTTTTGCGCCCTGTGCTCCTCTGGTCAGATGATGAGAGGATTTTAAATCTTCTTGATCTCTTACCAGGCGAGCAAGGCAAAACTTAATCAGAACAGTGTCATGGACGCAAAGAAAAATAAGCATTTGTTTGACCAACGAAAAATTAAGCGTGATGGCATCCTGGGTGAGTGAGCAATAAGCATGTTATTGACCAATTAACAAGCGATACTAAAGTTTCTGCGCACGTATCTGCCGACTGCAGGGTTGGAGCGCTGTGCATCCGAGTATGTAAACAAGATGCTTGATATTATCGAGAGCGACGATTCTGAAGATGGCGAAATGCTCCTCGTCATGAGTGTATTTCCGTCGTTCTCGGACATTTTTGAGCAAATCCGTAAAAGCGACTTGGAGTATGCCAAGCATAGCATGGGTCACTACATTCAGTACGTTAAAGGTCCTAAAAACCGCCCCACTGTGGATAATAGCGGTCTGATGCCAGTCATTTTACGATTTTTGGACGATGTCGCTATGGGCAACCAAGGCGCAAGCTCTTTTGGTTTTTGAACATGGACCGTTTTGTATCTCGCGTTTCCAAAGCTTCAGTTGTCACCCTCATTTGAATCTTGTAGTTTGAGTCAAAACAGTCTTAGGCTCGCAAAAGCAAAACCTTACAAGCACTGTACTGGGAAAACGTACGTGGAAATTCCCATCGTTATGTAATTTCATGACATCTTCATAACTTTTCTTTGCATTAACTTCAACTTTCGATGTACACCACATCATATTTTTGGACATCAACTTCAACTTTAAAACCTCTAACACCTGCATCGCAGCCAGTCAAGAACAGCGGACGTGTAGCGATGGAAGACAAAGCGCATCAGCTTAATGATAGTGCCGCAAGCACTACCAGTAGTCGCCGCCAAAAAATTGCTTGTATCACAGATCCTACAACTACACGAAATCGAAACAATGAAGAATAGTACTTATCGCAGATTGTTTTAGAAATGACATAATGATCTTAGCACATCACCGAAGTCACAACCGTTTCGATAAGTATTCACGATTGGCGTTGATGTGGCGGAATAGAGGTGCCTTTGATTGTCGGGTCACTACTGGACTACTATAAGCCAAGAGGCGACGATCCAACATGTTTGAATAGAATCTGCGTTTATATCAACAACTGCCGAAAGTCATGCTGGAACTGGTTATCAAGTTGAAAGTACAAGAAAACGGGTATGTGGCAAGGTTTGGGTCGGGAGAAGATGAGAAACGTGAAATTTTCCAAGAAAAACGATGTCGACCGTGATTGTGATCTTTTCGTGACTGCATGTTTGAGGTGGTGACGTACGATGCTACAATCGCATGGAGATCGTTGGCAGACGATACAGGGCAAAACTTTGAGACATTATAGTATTCAGCACGACTTATACAGGTCTCGTTTTTAAAGCGAGGCTGAGGTTCGACTTAATGTGATGACGGACAAGAGTTTGAGGGAAACGCAGCTGGCAGCTGGTGTATGGGCAGGTGCTAAATTACAAAAAGGTAATTTATCAGCCAATTTGCATCAATGCTCTTGCCGCGGACAAATCAGCTTAGACGTGTGATGACTAGCAATAATGTACCACTTGATCCTCAGTTGGTTCCTTTCCGCGGGTCTGAATACGCACCGGTGTGCTCGTCGCTCAAGCTACTGTTCTTGTAAGTCTGATCGCAATTGTAATGGTCTGTCTGGAAACCGAGGGAAGTAAGTCGCAATTGTAATGGTCTGTCTGGAAATCGAGGAGAGTAATTCGCAATTAAATGCTCTACGACGGTTCAAGTGGCGGTCGAATGGATCTTTAGTTCAACTCACAGACCAAGCAAGCACATGTATCTGCTTCCTAGCACTTATCAAATTTTTGGTTGACCTGTTACCAATTTGTCTATATTGATTGGTGGAACCGAATATTGACTTGCTCATCCAGAATTGAAAAATTGATTGACCCTCGACTAAGCTGGTTGGGTGCAGTGTGCACGCTTAACAAAGGCGACTAGTTTATTCTAATAGCCTGGATGTCGAAACTTTACCCATCTTGGAGACGTGAATCCATCATTCCGACTTCTTGGTTTGCATTTTATGGTTTGATATGCAAGGAGAAATGAAAGGATGACTTCATTCTTCGTCACATTATCCCAAGGGAATATTTAACTCATGCACAATATTCGTCAGCTAATTCTCAAACGAGTGCAATTTTTCATTTGAGTTTGTTTTAGAGCTATCGCCGTCATTTGTTTTGTTAAACTCTCTTGGGTTCGTGGACTATGAAAATATTTTTTTTGTCTCTTTCTTAAAGAATGTCGATTGCTGCTCAAATACAGTGCCATTGGTATGCTGTTACTCACAAAATATAAATGGCGAGCAGAGAAATGGTGCAGATCCAGCATAAAACGCTGGGCACTTTCATACATTCCGTTTATACTCATTCGACAACAACGGCAGACATTCGTCAATCGTCAAACCCTCTAGCACATAGCGCAGGTAACGATAGTCTTGAGAGGAGCTTCATTCTCAGACGTGGCGCGTCATTGATTCCAAGACGAGAGAGGTTGTTCAAGCTCCGCGAGCTGAAATCACTTAAACTCTCATCTTAATATGGTGCAGCACGCTTCGAAGCGTTTTTTTACGTGTTTTGTATGGACATTCCTTAGAACAGTGGTGTTACGTTTTGATAGAGAAACAGAAAAGGATTTGAGACGGGCGAAAATATGATTGGCGCTATTTAACTTCAATGACAAAACTGCTTAACCTACTTTTGACCAGCTTCAATGCCGCCAGAACTTATTTCGTGTATCTGTACATCGAGCTGCTTGTTGAAATGACTAAAGCCCCTGTTCAGTATACCCCGAACGATAAGCAAAATAACTAGTGCAGAAAGACTTACAACAGCAATGCAAAGTCTCACTCGCATCCAAGTTGCTTTTACTTTATATTTTGAAGAAATCGTGCGAACGCGTTCGACCTGAATAGAATCAACTCCATGAATTCAGTCTCAAACTGCTATTTCTTACCTTTACGTCAAGAGGCTGCAGTAGATTTATATCTGTAAACGCTGTGAGTGAATTGTTAACCCATCCACTTGAACAAGGAGACATGAAGCCAGAAATTCGGTCTGCCACTTGCAGGCTGCCATTGTGATCACACTGCTGAGTCTTCTGATTTGGTTTTATCAAGTTCCAAGGGCGCAGCCAGTAGAGGAACTCATTTTGTGGCTTTGAAAATGATTTTAGTAATATTTTTCTTTGCCACCAAGGCGCACACACTGGAGACGTCAATTGGAGTCGAGACTTTTTACCTCATCTAGCTGATCATTATTAAAGCAGAGCATAGTGAATGAGACAATACTATCGAGCATATTGTATTTCCTTTTCCGGACTCTTCGTGAGTTAATGCTGCTGCAATTATTTTTTTCGGCCTCGGGTGCCTACGTGAGCAAATTTTCCCTTCGCGTTTCTACTCTTCGATGTCCATCTCGCGTCCGGCTAGGCACGGAAGCACTCAGTGTTTCAAAGCAGCTTTACTTGATCGTGGGCTTTGATTTGTCTGTTGTAGATTTCTTCCCAGAAAAAATTATCTCCCGCGAACGAGCTTACCGAGGCTCAAATAGCAGGTCGCGTTTCGTACACATGCATCATCATTAAAATGTTTGCCTACCTGCGCACAGATGGTTGTTGGACATGCAAAATCGTGTTTTTCTGCTTGATTGATGCGTACACGTTCCGCGCCGCAAAGAAATGATTTCATGACGAGAAATACGATGTGGTATTATCTGTGCTTCTCCATTCATTTTTGCAAGAATCGGATTACAATGGAGTAAATGTGCAACGCTGAGATTCGTAATTATGTAAGCGAGCATCACTCATGTCCCGGTAGCGACTCTCTTCCAGATCTTAACTTCTCGCAAGTGACAAAGCTGGCGAGTCGTAAAGACTTTTTCGCCATGCGCAATCGCGAGAAATAGCTCCATTCATTGTAATTTCTTTCCTCAAAGTAACATCGGCGAGTACTGACACCTCATCCCGACGCGACTGAAAAAAGTCACGAGCTCGAATGCGCACGAAACAATTTTAGAGCATCATATTTTTCACAACTACTTCACGTTCTGGTAATTGCCCGGACACAATACGAAAGGCTCTTGTAATTGATTTCAAGAGTCTTGAGAAGATCGAGTCGGCGGTTAGTGGGCTCACAAGTTAAGATCATAGAAGCACAGCAACGATTAGAAGGTCGACACATGAAATCATAAAAGGCATATTTGCGTGGAGAAAACAACCAGTATCAGCTTTCGCTAAGATTCTTGTCGAGCTTTTCGATCGTGAATGCTCTGGCTGTAATATATCACGACATTCCACACATTTTCAATTTTGAGGCCGCGACAAACGATTCAGCATCCCCACTACTGTCAAAAGCGCTTCACTCAAATATCAAGTCGCAATGCAGGACTACTATTGGGAGCTTTGAATGTATCAGAGCAAAGAAAAAAATTATTGTATGTAAGTCATGCTTCGAACTGCGTGCCAACTCCGTCATCGTCGAATGAGTCGTTTACACCGTTGCTGGATTATCATCTCAAGAATTTGAGGATACCTTCGAATTCGACGTCGCTTGCTTCTATCACGTCCTCTAAAGTTAGCGCTCTCACTTATTATAACAATAGAGACAAGGAAATAGTCGAGTCCAAACCCGAGGTCACGCAATTAGTAGCACGATCAACTGTCGATGTTAGATTTTTACTGCCTGGAAATACAGCGTTACTCTATCGCGCTAGGGCCCGTAATGAATGAGTGAAGCGCAAACATCACAAAAAGAACGCCTCCCACGAGCGTGACGGTTCGCTCTGAGATGCGCGTGGCCAAGAACTTGCCGCCCACAACAGCTATGCCCGTGCACATCGAGTGGCCAAAGATTGCGCCAAGCGTCACGCCAAACGCATCCTTGGTGGCCGATAACGTCACCGTCGCAATTTGCGAGCGATCACCCCACTCGGCCAGAAATGTCATAAGAAACGCCTGTGAAAAGACCTTGATCATGCCATCTGTTAAGCTCTCATCCTTAGCGTGGCCTTCCTCTACAATTCTACGTAAAAATGTTAGTCGGTATAACCTTTTTTTATGAGTATGGCTGCATACTCTGCGTCCTCATTTTTCTTGCCCATCAGCTCTTCTTCCACCTCGTTGAGCTCGTCGGAAGGGCCTCTACAGTCAGTATATCACACCAACAGTTATTTACTCTGTTCAATCACTAACTATAACGTCCGTACGCCGAATTCATCTCTCTGGCGTCATACAGCATCTTAACTCCAAAGACAACAAACTGTACCAACAACATCGTTAACGACAGATCCCAACCAAAGTGTTCAAGGCTGTATCAATTTACATACCAATACGCCTCCTAGGTAGTGCGTCAAATTTGGAGGCAGAAACTTGGTGGCCACCACACCCATGGCCACAGATAGCACCGTCATCACGATTAGAGCGCCAATAGCTCCCGCAAATACTACAATACGATCTTGTTTCATACTTAAAATTGCGGCAATGAAGAAGGTCTTATCGCCAATTTCCGTAGCCCAAATGGTCAAAATACCACTCACAAAGCCAGACCAGAATTTCTGAGGCACACCTGTGCGCAGCTTAGGCCGTGCATTAGGAATCCACGCGGCGACCGGCACAGCATTATCAGCCGATAGAGATCCCACAAATGGGTTCAAGACGTTCTTAATTGCACCTGTAAAGGCTACAAACTCTTGCTGGTCAACGACTCCGTTGTGGTCGGCATCAGCGCGTTCGAAGGCGACTGAGCGCACGGCTGAATTGGCCATGGGCGACGGCGAATATGATGTACCATCTTGCGCACCGTGCTGCTGCTCAAGGTCGTCTGGGAGGGCCACGCTAAGGGATAATAGCAGCGAGAGGGTCGCCACAGCTTGAGAGTGACATACCATTGCTACGACGTTGAGTAAGTTTCTGGGCGGAGTAATGTGATTATACGGATCCAAACAATTTTAGAAACCTAGCATTCATCTTTGTTTTATATTCGATCCGTATGAAAAATCTATCAGGTCCATACAATTACAATTCCCGAGTCGAGTGTAAAATTACCGTATCGTGTTACATTATCTAGTGCTTCAAAAAAACGGAGCAATAGCAAGCAGTGTGATAATTTAAGTTGATATTATCGGATCATCTTTAATGCTGAAATTTTGATTGGAGCTAGCGTAACACGAGCCCAAGCAATAGTATTGGATCGTATCTTACAAGATCATGGTGAAAGAGCAACATAATGCTCTAGTTAGCTTTTGTGGTATCACGAAATCACGCGAAATACCATGTGCACTGAGTTTACATACGAGCATGAAGTATTTCCAGCAATGAAAATTTGTATTGCACAAACAAACAATTAAAAACTTAATATCTTTTTCAGTTATGTTTGTAGTTTGCACAAACTACTAAAACTTGAATAATATACATAACTTCTATTTCTGAGTCGTGAAGACGTGGAGCTAACAGCTACTCATCCACTTTTATTCGCCTCATCTGTAGCATACGATCCATAATGGTTCCGTAACTTGGTACTTCTGATCTAGGCTCTGAGTCTTTTGGACATTAGTGATAATTGTGAGCAATACGTACAAATTCTGCAATGGTGCAACGGCTTTGGTCACCGACCTAACGTACTATACCAGAACCAGTACGGGTGTAGCGGATCGCAATCCGCTACCTCTAGTACCCAAAACTCTAATCACTCTTCCGCTCAAGATTGGAACTGTATTTTATTTGCGGCAGAGCAGCCTATATCTAAATCTGTAGGTTTTCCAAATTAAATAGTATAAACCTTAATAATATGCATAGTCCCGCCACGAAGTGGCTTCTTGTTACGGTGCAGCCACACTATTGTATGATTACACCGACTTGTGTGATTCACACTTTTGTACGGTCACACCATCTTGTGTGACCCACCTTTTCATACAAGGTTACGTGTAACCCCGTTACACTCTCCCCCATCAAAATTGTGAATTACCACAATTCACATTTAATTATCGCCTCGTACGAGGCTCACATGTCTGAGACACCGTTACGTCCTTACGACCATCTTTATACATTATCTGCTAAATGATCGCTATGTCTATGACATGAAAAACACTCAGCCTCGCGAATCGCGAGGGCGCACGCGGGCAAAACCCTTATTCGTTCCCTGAACGCGGTGCAACTCCGGACAGTACGTCCGCGGCTTCACGGGAAGCACATCCTAAGCCCTCGGAAACTGGGCGCCAAACACCGCGCTCGCCACGGGTAACGAAACTCCTTGTCGAGGATTCAGAGGAAGTCGACTTCGAGTTGGATACTCCTTTCCCAGCATGGATAGAAGAGGAGGGCGAGGTGTGCCAACGGCGCGACGTGAGCCGTGCTCGAACCTTACGGGCACCGTGTCCGTTTTCCGACCACTTGACTTTCGGGAGAAGTGGTAGTATTACTAATCACCTCGACGAGGCACAGGAGCATCAGTTGAAGGCTGCCCACAGGGCAGCTCTCATGCGCTCAAATCCACGTTCGGTCATAGACCCTCGTGTGAAAAACGGCTCGGCGGATCCCGCTCCTGAAGCGAAAGACGCGATCACTCGATAGTAAGGCGCATACGTAGTCTGGCCCCCGGTCACTACACAACCTTAGCTTGACCAGCAAAAATCCCTCCGAGCTCGCTTCTTGATACTGCAGGTAATACCAATAAATAGGTACCGCGCTCAACTTTGCGCACAAGGAGGAGGCGCTCCTATACCCGCAATGCGGACTATTCCGGTGGTGGTCGCCCCTGGCGAATCCGCTGCAGATGATGAGGAAGTCTTTGATTAATGGGTGTTGTGAAACTGAAACTTTTTGTTGTGTAACTTAAAGCGGCGTAAAAGGAAATGGACGTGCGCTTAGAACACTATCTTTGATTTGGGTTTACCAAAGTCAAGGCGCAACGCCGTCTTCCTGCGTATTGTCGCCTTGCGACACATGGAATCATCCATCACGCTCCTGCGAGCTCTGTGGTTTCTTGCACGGGTGAGTGTTCGACCACAGCAGCTCAGGGTCATAGCTTGAGCTCAGCTCATGGCCCTCCGGCTTCCTGGGCTACTACCGAGAAGCGCGAAGCACACGACGATGCGAAGCGTTATGATCCTTCTGAGCATAAGCGCCCACAACGTCTGGGCAGTCTTGCCGTAGTGGCGCCTCGAACTCCCACGAGTTCTCGGAGTTTGGGTATCCCCTCCACTTCAAAAGATATTTGGTTTGACCACCGTCGACGACGTCGACCCACAAGGCGTTCCACGTGATAGTAGGCGCCGCCATTCTCATCGAAAAGAGTCGGTGGCGGACGATGACGACTTGGTCGATCGCCATCCGGTGACTCGCGATGCTCTTCGGGCTTTGGAGAACAAAGTCCGTCGTCATCGGCACTCCGCCGAGAATCTTCCCGAGGTCGTCTACCGCTTGCGGAAGTCCTCGAGAGCCTGGAGCACTTTGTACACCGACTGCCTCACGGTGAGGATTATCGCGGTCTGTTGGAGCAGCTTCTAGCTGTCGAGCAGACAATTGCGTCACTGCGTGCGACGGTGGAGCGCCTGGCGCTGATGGAAACGGAAGTTGTTGCACTACGTGCTCAAAACCAGTTACCGGTTTACCTTCTAGGTGACCGAACATCTTTGGGCACTGCCCCGACGCCAACGCTCCCGCGTTCTCTTGCGCCGGATCCCGGTACGGCTTAAGCAAGCCCACATAAATCACCGGGTGGGCGCGCATCCTTCTCGGAAGGTTCAGCGTGTACGCAAGACCACGCATGGCCACGATCTCAAAAAGTCCAATAAACCGTGGACGGAGATTTGTCTTTAAGACAGCAGAGACTGCATATGGAGGAAAAGTTTTAGCATTTAATAAAACCAGGTCTCCGACGTTAGATTTTTTTCTCGGCTTCTTCCATCTGCACTTGGCTTTTAGCCATCGCATCGCGAACGTGTCGTAGGACACCCAGTCTGGTAAGCAGGAAGTCATCGACTTCCTTGCAGACAGTGAGAGGGTTGACATCAGCTAGCCGTTCGGTAATTTCTTCCCCACCAAGTCCTGAGCCACGGGATGGCGGTGTCAGCGGGACGCGAGGTTTAATCAGCCCGATCACGTATAACGGCGTGAAGCCGGTAAATGAAAGCACTGCATTGTCCATAACAAGCTCTTTGATTGGCAACATAGCGCTCCGGCGCTTCGGTGTCTCAGTGCAGACGCTGCGAATACGCCTACAGCGACGAGATTCAAGCGTTCAGTTTGACCATCGGTCTGCAATAGGTCCGCCGTCAACATAGTCAATTCGGTGCCCAGCACCCTGAAGAGTGTAGACCAACATTTCCCAGTGAAGCGCGGGTCTCTATCAGATATACTTGACTGCGGGGGCCTATATATTCGGAAGACACGAACGACAAACAGCGTCGCTATACCTATATCGTCGATGGTGTCTGGTACTACCGCAAGATGAGCTGTCTTGCTCGAACGGTCCACAAATACCACCACACCCGCGTTGCCCGCCGAGTCCTGTGGCAGGCCGAACACAAAGTCCAAACCCATGGACTGCCAACACCCGGGGGGTTACTTTTTTAGTATGCCTTGAAATGGTCTAAAGATACATTGTGGTTTGATGATTGCACGATCTTAAAGATGCCACCGCTGGCTCTACCGAATAACAGTGATAATCGTTTCGGTCACTAATAACGTTTTATTCGTTGAAGGCGTTTCCATGGGAAGCGCCAGCTCCTTATGAAGTGGCGGGACTTTCTCGGGTCATAAAAATCAGAATAGCCTATCAGCTAGCGCAGTGCTGATATTTAAAGAGCTGCTGCGTTCTGGGAAGGGGACCAACATGACCAACGAACGTGCTACGTGAATTTTTAGCCGTATAACAGGGTATAAGGCTGAACGAACTCACCCTAGACCCGCGTGGTCTACATGCGCTTCAGGGAACTTATGCCGCAGTCTAAATATTGCTCAGTAAAATTGTGTTTGCTCACGATGTATGCAAGCATCATGCCGAGGTTGTGGTGATCGAGGGCCCGATTTTGCGATAGCTCCTGCAAAATATATGTGATCCAAATGTTTTTTACTGAAGTACAATCCACTTTCAGAACGAGTCGCGGTTTAAGCCCATCATCGAAGGAAGCTCATGTACCGGTAGGGAAAGCTCTTGCCTTTCACACATATGCAAGCTCTAGTCACACACTTTAACGAAAAATGGCTCGGTGCTAGTATCTGAAACTAAACAGCCTCTACATTGCTTTGGATTGAGGTATCTTTTCATTGATTCCCTTTCACTTTTAGGAGATCCTAAGTACTCTATCTGGCGGGCAATCTGCGCTGCGAACCAAAGATGGACATCGTAATATTTAGTCCACGTATAATGCTGGATAAGTCGCCATACCGGTATATTGGCCAGCGACACCGCCGCATCCGGGGAGGACTTTACCCTCTGACAGGTATCACACGTGCGCACATATGTGCTCATCCATTTGTAGCTTGGGTCACCAATAGTGGCAACTCACAGAGCTGTACGTCTTCTCACGACCGAGATAACCACTGAGTGAGGTGTCGTGGGCCTCATCGATGATACGGTATCTCAAATTCTCATCATGAGGAACCACAATTTGGGCGTATTAGCCGAATTGGTACTGTAATACAGCAACCCGTTATTCAACGTATATCGGTGTAACCGTGCGTGCAAACGCACCAACAATTTCTTCTCTGAAATACAGACTACTTGTTTTTCGAGAGCCTGTAGCGCACTACACACATACAATCACACGCGTATGCGGTGCGAATCAGATCTGTCACTGACGACGTCACCGTCGTGACATGAGCAAGCTCATATTCTGGTCTGCGTGACAACGCATCAACCAAAGTACTCTACTATCCTGGCTTATACGTCACTTCGAACTTATATTCTGCGAAGAAGGAGAGCCACCTGGCCATCCTCTGTGAGAGGTGAGGCGGCTGAGTCGCAATGCGTAATGACGCATGATCTGTGTAGATCACAAACGGCTTGGAGCCGAGCAGGTGCACTTTGAACATGACAAGTGCATACTCAATCGCAAGTAATTCCTTGTCGTGGACTGGGTAGTTCTTCTCCGCAGCCTTAAGCTGGCGAATTTCGAACGCGACCACCCGATCTCGGCGGCAGTGCACAGCCGATTGCATAGTCCGAAGCGTCGTAGGCGACACTAAAGGATGAAAACGCCGGTATTGGTGCATGAAGGAGGCTGTCCTTGACCCTGTCAAAAGCCTCTCGATGCTCGGTATCCCAACACCATCCGTATCTTACTTAAAGGGATCCGACAATGGCCGTGCCATTTTCGCATAATTTACGTTATACTTGTACAAGCAGTTGGCAAGGCCAAGCCACCTTGGCAAGTCCTTTTGGTACTTTCGAACCGGCCAGTCCACAACGGGCTTAAGCGAGATCCGCTCGAGGGCCACGCTTCCCAATAAAACACCTTAAAAGGGGATCTTTCAGCGCCGAGGATGCACTTATCTGAATTAGCACACAGCGTATTCGTGCGCATGCACTCGAGCACCGCTCTCAAATAAACGAAGCCGTCGTCGAAGTATGTCTGTGCATACGCCCGGTGGGGCCTGAACAACTGCTTCACAAGACGGTTAAATGTTGCTTGTGCTATTGGCAGCCCTGGGGGCATCACCAGCTACTCCCAGAACATGCCGCTCGGAGTACTCACCGCTGTCAGCGGAATATCACTCGCTTTCATGAGTAACTGAAGATACCCATCGACCATGCCGAGTGCACTGTACTTTGTACAGCCAACCATAGTGTTTTGGAGAAGATGCTTCGTAGGGATCGGCGTCTGTGCCGGAATGGTGGCAGCGTTTAGCTTATTGTTAGCGTGAACGATACGCCACTTGCCGTGCGGCTTCCGGACAGAAAACGTGGTGTGGTGTCGAATAGGGAGACTTGCTCTACGCAACATTCCGGAGTTATGTTTCGCACGGAGAATGATGTGATACTGCTCCTTGGAAAGAGGCAATTGGGTATTGGTTTTTGGAGCCAGGTCTATCTCATAACGCACACCCCGGTCCGGAGGCAGGGCCGACGGGGGGTCTTTGGAGACAACGTCTTGACATTCCTTTACCAAAGGAGAGTACGGATCCGAGAGATCCTTCAGGATCGACGATCCACTTCGTGCATTTGGCGCCTTCTTGGTATCCTCTAGGACAGCTTCAGCCACAAGGCACGACGAGTCAATCTCCTCGTCCGGTCGTATAATGACCATCTCGGCAAAAAAGCCTGCCTTCAAGGCACCGCCGTACTCTTCAAAGGATAACCGGTCAGCTCAAGAATAGCATCCACCGCAAGAATAGCGTCGAGGGTGACGTCGCCGTCTTTCTTTCCCGTCATTCGGTTGCCAAGGGTGTATAGCTGTGCGCTATCGTCTACGATAGAAACACCCTGGGTCAGGGTCCACGCCCTGCGTCTTGCAGTCAACATACGGCATCGTCGTCTCCTCTCTCTAGAGATTTTACGTCTCATCAAGACCAGTGGGAACACGCACTCAGCGTCGTTCAGTGTCCCTACTCCCTGCGTTATCGGAGCCTTAATTTCATATACAACATTCGCCGAAAAACTCCTATTATCGCAGTCTTTGTCCAGTGGATAACGTTCCACTCCAAAAGGGCCTTGCCCTCGATACCTCGGACCTCTTCCAACCATGCCACTCTTGGCATTTAGCAACTGATTCTAAGCGTGATTAGTGCCGGGTGGATTACGTGTCATTCCACGTGCATCACTGGGGCCTCGCCCTCGATGTCTCGGACCTCGTCCGACCATGCCACTCTTGGCATGCAGCAACTGCTTCGTAAAGTGAGCAGTGCTCAGTGGATTACGTGCCATTCCACGCGCATCACTGGGGCCTCGCCCTCGATGCCTCGGATGTCGTCCGAACATGCCTCTATTGGCATGCAGAACTGCTTTGTAACGTGAACAGTATTCAGTGGAATACTTTTCCACTCCACGTGCATCACATGGGGTCTCGCTCTCGATGCCTCGGCCCATAATCGATAATTCCACGCATGGCATGCATTGACTGCTCTGATACTTGAGTGGGTTACATGCCACTCCTAGTTCAGCCCGCGAGCATGCTCGGGACTCTTGTCCGATACATATTCGCTGTTTGACAGCTTGAGTACTCCGATATCCAATACATTGACCGTCACGGTCCATCGCCCGCGCCAATAGCTCTTCTGCTTCCTAGCAGATGACTCACCAAAGCTCCACCTTGAGTCGTGCGCGTAGCGCTCAAGGTCTTTGACCTCCAATCAATCCATGGCTCAAGGTGTTCCAATAATGTCATACCAAGGTTAAGATCATTTCGAGAGTCGAGCATAATTGCCCGATGCCCCGGAATCGATAAGGATCTTTCATGGGTTCTCAAAGCTTTTCACGATCACTTTTACGACCAGCAAGCCTGGCTTGCATACACGTTCCGTGTTCAAGAGCACGTGGCTCTTCGGGGCTGGGCCTTGCTGCCCTCTATCGCTTTGAGGCTCAACCGAATTCAGTCATCCTCCAGTAGGGCGCCCCGCGCCTGTTGGGTTCAGTCGTTTTCCCGCGACAAACCAGACTGGTCAGAAGCGGGAGATCGGCGTGATGAACCTTGAGGCGCCTTGCGCAGGCACAACCAGTCCGATGGTGACGGGTGTCTCCAAGACAAAACACCGTCGGGTGTTTAAACGCTACTCGGCTCGGAGCTCTCCCCCCTCGTTCTCAGCATAGCTGCAATCCATTGGCTCAGACCCGCTCGACGAGCTCTGAGGGTGTGCATTCCAACCGAGTCGTATCGACTTAGAGTTGAAGTATGTATTCAATGCCACATTCACCACTTCTTGAAATGTAGACGAATGCACACGGATGACTTCCATTCTGGCCACGCCAGTGTGGACGAGACAGTTACTGTGATTGCCTCGGGGAGAGAATCGGCTTCCATCATGATAATGAGAGTACGCAAATTTTGGACAATGTCTACCAATTCATTCCTGCCCTTTCAGGTGGCAAAAAAAACGCGATCGCACGCGATATGCCTGGTTAGGCGTCGAAAACATTCGTAAAATCTGCAGCTTCAGCTCCGTCCAGGAGGGAAACGCCGCTTTAACCGAAGTACTGCACGTCCTCGCGCTCGACCCCCGCGCTCGACCCCCGCGCTCGACCTCCGCGCTAGGAGATAGCTGCGGCTCGTTCCGGAGGTTATAGCCATCTCGGCCTCTCTCGCCAGAGTAGTAGATTCACTCTATATTTTTCCTCAAAGGTTTTAACGCATACCATTATTGGTTTGGGTCGAGATGAGTCATCCGTCGTCGACGGTCGCATCATGGACGCAGTCGACGCTGACATCGTCTGCTGTAATTTCACTAGCAGAGCATTTTCAAAGCTCGAAAACACCTATAGGCGCGCGCTTATCTCTTCAGGTTCTTGCGAAAAAGGCCAAGCAGGGACATCAGATTTTTCAGCCCGTCCTGCATACCCTCGTACAAATAGGAGAATTGCTCCATCCTCACAGAGATCATTCGTAGCGACTCAGCTGTCGATTGACTACGCGTGCTACCAAGTGCAGCGAGGCTGCCGTAGCTCTTTGCTTAGAGGGAGCTAAGCAAAGGTCACCGACCTCACGTTCTATGCTAGAACCCGTACGAGTATAGCGGATAGCAATCCGCTACCTCGAAGAGTACTCAAAACCTCAAGGTATTAGCTTTTCCTGATTAAATTGTAAAACCTAATTAATATGCATAACCAGTGGCAGTCCCGCCACGTAGTGACTTTTTGTTATGGTGTAGTCACACAATTGTGCGATCACACCATCTTGTGTAATCCACACCATTGTAAGGTCACACCGTCTTGTGTGGCCCACCTTTTACACCAAGGTACGCGTAAACTCGTTACACGGTGGGCATCGAATTTAATTCGAAGGTTAATTTCACGTTGCGAGGGCGGGTTGGACAACAAGAGGTTGTAGCACTACGATCGCGCGAGAGGCAACGGGTCTCAACCACGATGACTAAGACAAGCAAAACATATTGTGGCTGCTGAGATGCATCGTAATCTTAAAGTTGTGAAAGTATCAAATGTATGTACCCCTAACCTCGGCTGGGATATGTGAAGAGTCATCTGGTGAATAGCATTAAGTCTCAGTCAGCCCAAGGCAACCTACTAAAAGTCATGGGTAATAGGACCTAATTTCTTTGGGAGCGACTCTCCTTGAGAGAAACAGCTCAGATTGGCTGCATGTTAATATCATAAATTCAGAAGTGTCGTGCAACTACGTACGATGCGCAATTATTGAAAACAGCGGAAAATCATAGGGGCATTAGAGATGCTAAATATCGATACGCTTTTGAGCGCCTTGAGGCAAGATGCAATTCATAGAGTCAAATACCCTCTCTAACATTTCGGATAACGATTAAAGGCCTCAACAGTGTGAGACATGGTCTCGTTTTGAAGCTGGGCTCGAGATAAGATTGCATATCAGGTGCACTATGATCCATAGAACAACTGTAAGCAAGCAAATTTAGGCCTGACACGCTGACCTTCTTCGATTCTTTGTTGACCAATAGCTACATCTCCGCCTGGAAATAGATAACGCAGTTATAATGCATGGTGTCTGAGTATTTAAGCAGTGATGTTGTTCAGTGATTTAAATAAAGCTCTGGGGGCATAAGCGACAGGGGGCCGCAATTTAAAATGAAACAGACAATAGCAAGAGTATATCACAGTGTCCATTTTTTAGATCTGCTTCGACAGGAACGAGCGACGGTACGTCGTGGCTCACATATTGTGTTGATAGAAAATTTAATTACGGCTGTAGGTCGGAGTCTCCTATGAAAATGCCGTTGAAGACGAGAAAGAGCGGCTGTATGCTGCGGACAGATTCGTCAGGGGTGGGGGCGGGTAACCGTATGTTGCAAGTAGACGGCTCAGACCCTTAAGGTTTTGAAAGAACTACATAATTGTCACGATGCAATGACACTATTGATCATGGGGTGCGCTTACCGTGCAAAGCAGAGAGGCTTCATCCACTTGCAAATGAAGTGATATGGTTTCTTCACGAGTTTGTAAGTATTACCTCATAATATTTTGTAATAGCTGTCATTGAGGTTAAAAAGTATTCGATGTGTATGTTAACAAAATATGTTCAAGAACCAATTTTGTACATGAGGCTGTAATTGCGGACACACACCATTGTGTGCAATGAGTAAGAATCTTACATGCTTTTTACATTTTTTTTGACAAAATATCACGATGTGTTGACAGAGACCCACCACACGTATTGCCCCCAAAGCGCATAGAATTTTATTTGAACTGGATCCTGGGACCAACTTGTATATCGTAGAAAAAAGATCATATCCAAGGGAGAAGTGTGACGTCATCTTCCGTGTAGGCTTGGTGAGATAAAGTGTATCTCTTTACGCGGCGATGACTGTCTGTGTCAGAGAGACTAACAACAAGTGGCAAATATGCATGCGTATACGAACTTACTTTTCGCCACATTTCCGGCGCTAATACCGACTACCCGGGAGGAAGTGCCACATTGGTAAGTCCTCCGTATTTATTCATGGGTTAACGCGCATGAGCGACAGTGACATCGTCCTTACTGTGGTGGGTCACTAGAGAGGGATGCCATGGATGTGGCGGCCTACTTTCTAGCACTACAGCGACCTACATTTGTTTTGTGCAGCTGCTGAAGTCGCATTGTTCCTATGCATAGCCCTTTTTACCGCTGTACTCGTGCGGTTCACGGGGAACTGACTGTGGTTGAGTGAATGCGCTTCGACAAATTGTCTGAAAATATAAACAAATACCGACCAATTCCTCTTCCCGGATGCTTCATCAGAAAGCGATAGAATCCGTGTTTTTTCGAGGCCATCACAGATTTGCCAGTGTTGCTTTTTCTAGGGAGTTTTAAAAGTGATTTGCTAACTTCATGCATAACATTCGTGCAGAACATGCTGTCATGGCACTGCCCTTCACCACCACCCACCCCTTAAAATAACATCACATGGTGCTCGGGCGCGACAGAAGAGTAGGCATTTTAGAATGAAAAAGAGCCACAAGAGTGCCCAGTTTTGACCAATCCAGATTCGGATCGGCCAATTTACGATATCCGCAATACTTTTAGCTTTGTCATAGGCAAAACAGATGCCAGTTGGCGTGGACACGTTATTGCATGTCGGTGTCCCAGCTTTCTGCGGCTGCCAAGTTCTATCCCATTCACGACAAGAAGCTACTTGTTATAAATGATGATATTGTTCAGTCAAATGAACAGCTTTTTAACTCAAAGCTATTTGTGATCTGTATAGATCATACGGAGATCGTTGTCAATCATTCACCAAGAAAGGTTAGATGGCTATCTATCTCTGACGAATCGACCTTCGTGGCAACTTATTCGACGGGATGGTTTAATCTGGTGGTTTGCTTCCCCGTTACAAACTGTCCTATATGACGATGCTGACGTCGCACGCTCACCAGCGACAATTATAGCATATGATTAAAGCAGCATGTGTTGCACAGCTGAAGGATTTGAGAAGGAAGAAAACATTCAACTCAAACTTCGCTTTATCAAAGCGTTTGTAGCCTCTTTTCTCAGTCATTCCTTGGTTAATTGATTGATGCAGATCTACTTGACATTTGATGCGTAAGGATTCCTTACGACGAGGACTTTACGAACATAATGCTAACCATGCGCCATTAATGAGATAAGACATACCGTTCGATTAGCTTTATGCATTAGCGGCCCGTTTTGGGCAAGTGGGAGAGTGTACGACTGCATACGTCTAAATCACATCCACGGGCTTTACCCTCACCGCAAGCAGCAGCACCATTGGCCAGTCTGCCAGTCAACCAGAGTGTTGAAATATGAGCATGGGCTTTGGTTTCGGTTCTTAATATGATTGTCTGGTGCTATAGGCAATTAGGTCTTTGTTGGTCGTCTTAGCACGATATTGCTCGACATGATACGCTTTTGGTGAGGATACCGTCATGCTGTTCCACGACAATTTTGCCGTCATAGCATGCTGGTGGTCATTGTTTTTGGTTGAGGTTTGAGCCTTTTATAATAATGTGGGCGAATGTTGTATGCATTTGATCAGAAACGCCTACTGCTGAGCATTCACAAAGTTATAGCAATACATAAGAGTTACTTACAAGGCAGAGGATATCCTTCAAAGCACTTGCGCGGAAAGACGGTGATGGACATGCATGATAATCCTATTCTTTAAGTTTGCGTTGAATAAGGCCGTTCACAAGTTGAAAGGCATTACCAGATTTACAATATCAGTTTGATTAGCCTTCGCGTTTTTTTGACACCGCCTTGAAAAGACAACGGACTTTATTTCGGAGTGGTCGTCGATTAAATTCGTCTTGCTATGAGCTAGCTTACACTTCATAGCAATCACAAATGCATTCCAATGCGAATGATCATACGCCGACTGTATCATGTCATGACTGAGAATAAGGATGTGCAACGCAGCATGCAGATGTCATAGGTAGACGGAATACACGTGAATATGTGATGAGTGAATAGCCTTGCTTGAATGCGGTCAAGTCATTACACAAGTATTGTCTACATCTAAGACCAAGCTGCAATTCCAAAACATTGAACCGTTCACGATCATAGCCAAAAATGATTAAGCTACATACTTGGTATCATGGGAGAAATTCCGCTTTACGTGGGCTTGTGACAGCCACACCTAGATTCTGCTCATACAATCCATTAGAATAAGAATCGTTTTGTTGTCGAAGCAACGTCTCATTCATCTCCCGTAACCAGGCTCTTACAGCGATGTGTAATAGAAAACGAGCGATAGAGAAACTTGTTCTGTTTATTTTATTACTACCTTGGTATTCTTCTAGCTCATTCAACGAGATGCTAACATGCACAGTAGTGTGTGATTGTGATCAAAGGCTGGGAGTATGTATGCTATACAGCAGGAGCCACGGGGAATAGAAAGAGTTCATTGATGTGATAAATTGAGTGGTTCATGTAGATTGTTGGTTTATCCATTGCATCTTGCGTAAATCTCTGAGTTCTTAAGAGCTATTCGGGTGGTTACACATCATCACTAGGTCAATAAGATGGCTTTACAGCTTACAAGGTATACCGCTTTAGACAATATAACCATCGTACCTGTCTAGCAGTGTGCCGATACGCTTAAATATCAGTTAGCAAAAGCACTTAAAGTAAGTGTGCTGAAGTGTATGTTCGTACGTTGATTTCTGCTTGTATCATCAATTTTTAATGCTTCGACACGTGCTATTGCTTGTCTATCACAATTATGGACCTTACATTTCTGTTGGAATGCTATCCTAAATCAATATCACCCATCGATTTGTCTTTTGCAAGAAGGTCAAAATTCTAAACACCATTCTCGTTTGATTTGCTTAAGAATTTCTTGAAGTGGAACAAAAAAATTCAAATAACAAAGAATTATTATTGCCCAATCAACGACTACTACTCTTCGCCACGTCATACACACACAAGAAATCAAACGCAAAACAGGATGGGCGGATAGTCTAGCGATATAAGATTCTCATCGAGGTCATCTCGCCTAGCTTCGCCAGCCATTCCTTCTAGCCACTAGGATCATTTCCTATCATTTCTGCATCTACTCATCAAAACACACTTATATATTCAACAAGTATTGATCAGCATGGTTGCTGTCGACAGTGCAACGCTAGGATTTCCTCGCATGGGGCCCAATCGGGAGCTTAAGTTCGCTCTTGAAAAATTCTGGCGCAACAAGATCAGTGAAGAAGAGCTTTACAAAGTGGCACACGCTGTAGAGGAGGCCAACTGGCGTAAGCAATATGATGCTGGTGTTAACCGTGTGGGTGTCGGTCTCTTTTCACTCTATGACCATGTCCTCGACTGGACCTTTTACCTTGGTTTGGCTCCAGAGCGCTTTGCCTCTGTGCCTACTGGTCTATCACAATACTTTGCTATGGCTCGTGGTGTTGACGGAATTCCCGCGCTTGATATGACCAAGTGGTTTGACTCTAATTATCACTACGAAGTGCCTGAACTTAACGCCAAATCGACTCCTAAGGCAAACTTTAGTTCGTATGTAGCATCCATCAAGCGTGCTCTCACTGTTCTTGGTCCAAACAAGACGGTCCCAATTATTTTGGGTCCACTCACTTACTTGGCTCTCAGCAAATACGACGGAGCTACTCTTGACGACTTGTTACTCAAAGTCTTGCCACTTTACGCTGCTCTTATCAGTGAACTTGCTGATCTGGGCATTCATGAGGTTCAAGTTCATGAACCATCGCTTGTTGGTGCTCAGGCAGAGCAGCTGGCAAAGCACTTGCCTACTGTATACGGCTCCAAAGACCAAAAGGGAGCTATTCAGCACGAGAAACTGGTTATCAACCTAGCGACATACTTTGAAGAGATTAATCACGATGTTTATCAGTGGTTCACTACGTCACCAGTATCGGCGATTTCGCTCGACTTTACCCGCGGTGATAATTTGTCAGTGTTACAAAAGTTTGGGTTTCCTGCCGGCAAGCGTCTTGGTGCCGGTCTGATCGATGGTCGGAGTGTATGGAAGTTTAACCCCGACACGATCTTGTCTCAAGTATCAGAGATCAAGAAGGTGTTATCTGCATCAGGAAATGCACAATTGACAATTCAAACTAGCTCGTCCTTACAGCATGTACCATACACGACCGAGTGTGAAACATCACTGAACACTGGGGAGACTGACGGTTTATTGGGTGTCTTAAGTTTTGCGTATGAAAAACTTGCTGAACTCGAAGTGGTTAAGAAAATCGCTGAGATTGGTGAAGAAGCTGCTAAGGCGGAAGTCGACGCGGTCAAGAAAGCGTGGACCGTGTACTACGAGAAAAATCCAGCAAAGAAAGCTGTGCAATCACGTCTGTCTGCCGTGACGGAAGCTGACTTTAAGCGTCCATCTCCGTTCACTGAACGCCGTCCCTTGCAGCTCAAGGGATTACCTGTCTTACCTACAACTACCATTGGATCATTCCCACAGACTGCTCAGATCCGTGCTCTGCGCCGCAAGCTAAAAGCTGGAGAAATTTCGCTTGAACATTATCGTGCTAAGATCGATGAACAAATTGCTTTCAACATTGGTATTCAAGAAGCCTTGGGTTTGGACATCCTGGTTCATGGTGAACCTGAACGTACTGATATGGTCGAGTACTTTGCTGAAAAGTTAAATGGCTTTGCATTCACACAAAATGGATGGGTTCAAAGTTACGGCTCGCGTTGTGTTCGCCCTCCGATCATTTTTGCCGATTTGGAACGCCCTGCTGATATGACCGTACGTGAGTTCGTTGTTGCTCAATCATTTACAACAAAGCCGGTCAAGGGTATGCTCACAGGTCCTGTGACAATATTGAACTGGTCATTCCCGCGCAAAGACATCAGCCGCAAAGACCAAGCCTTCCAGCTTGCTCTTTGTCTTCGTGATGAAGTTGCTGACCTCGAAGCTGCTAAGTGCTCCGTTATTCAGGTAGATGAGCCAGCTCTTCGTGAAGGTATGCCACTCAAACCTTCCAAGAAGGATGAGTACTTGAGTTGGGCTGTGGACGCGTTCCGTTTGTCGACTGCTGTCGCTAAAAACGAGACTTCGATTCACACTCACATGTGCTACTGCGAGTTTTCGGACTGTATGCACGCGATTGACGCAATTGATGCCGATGTGAATTCGATTGAAAACGCTCGCTCAGATGACGAAACCATTCGCTCTTTCAAGGCCATTGGTTACAAGCGCGATCTAGGACCTGGCACGTATGATATTCACTCGCCTGTCGTTCCACCCAAGGAGGAAATCGTGAAGAAGCTTAAAAGCTTTTTGAACCTTTTGCCTGCCCAGCAGGTTGTTGTCAATCCAGACTGCGGTCTCAAAACCCGCAAGTGGCCTGAAACTATTGCTGCTCTACGGAACATGGTTGACGCAACCTTGGAAGTTCGTGCTTCTCTGTAAGTGACCCATTCAAGTGGCCTATTCACTTGACTGCGAAGCTGTATACTCATTTCTGTCGATGAAGTTGTGCGCCGAAGTGTTAAGCGCTTTGGCTCGCTCGACGTGCTTTCACAGGCATGGCTAAGCTGCCGAGATCATAGTTAGGAGGATATCTCGCCACCCTAGATTATCTGGAAATTGATTATGTAGTTTTCATTTGTTTTGACATTTGCATCTTTTTCTCAAAAGTCTTTGCCCTTACGCATTACTACATTCACACTGTAAAGTAGGACATTTTTTAAATAATCATACTTATTTATTATATTGATGACATTCGCTTGTAACCAATGACATTTATCGTGTTACCGTAGAGTTTTCGTGAAGATTTTCATTTTACTGCGACGTTTATGCGTGTGGTAAGCAAAATAAAAGTAATTAAGTCTTATATTTTTATTTTGGATGAAAACGTAAGGATGGCATGACGAACATTTCTGTCAAATTACAGCAATTTGAGTCAAATAAGTCATCAAGTGATCCATTCTGATGCGTAGTATTTGTTCGTGGTAACCTTGTTGTTGCAAAATATATTAACGTCTTAAAATTATCATACACCAAGATGCAGCTGAAAGAAAGTCATTATGAATGCGGAGTCAAAGGTCCATTCACGCTTCGTGCGAGTGAAGTCCACTAATTCGTTTTTTTCCTCAGGTATTAATACGGGGTAGCACATTCCATTTCTATATCTGCTAGTCACTTTCCTGTACACCTGAACTCCACTCTTTTAGGAATCATCCTTTGCACAATAATCTTCTGAGCTGTATATGATAGGAAAGAGGAACCATAAATAACTTGAGGAAAAAAACATTTGGTAAGGAAACACATCTTACTTCAGTAGAAGAATAACACGAAATTTGTGTACACTACTAGCACTACAAGCCACGAAGAAATTTCTTTTGCAGCAGATGTGCCGTCGTTGTGTCCAAGTACATAGGCACTCTTGACATTGGTGGTGGTCGAAGGCGAGGAGGAGGAAAAATTGGCAGGTGTGGAGTACGTGCCAATGACATGCAAGGTTGGGCTCAGTAGTAATTGACCCTCTTTCGTTGCTGACATTGTCGTATCAATATTATTGCCGTCAATGTGCCAACTCAAAGACATCGCGTCGTTTGTGGCAAGACGCGAGGCCGAATCATCTCCATCGCGAAGTGCTAAGTTATAAGTTTTACGCACTGCAATTGCTGCTCTGACTTCAGCTTCGGTCGGTGCTTTACCTGAAGTGCTTGCAAGTTGAAGAATTGTCTCCGCGGTCGTTCGGATGTAAACGTTAGCAACCACGCATTCCTGAAGCTGTACCAGCAGCACTGCTCGAAAGTAGAATTGACACTGGCTAATGGAGCTCATGACCACCATTTGAGCGTAGCTGAGCTCTCCATTGAAGGGAAAGTAGTACGCACTCATACCGGCCAAATTCGTGCACTCCGACACAATGTACGGGTTGTTTTCATTAAAATGTTTAATCCGGGCAACCTCCTCGCCGTTGCACACATACGTCGTGTCTTCCAACTTTGTTCCAGCTACAGCCGCGACGGTGCCTGGTTGAAAATTTTGAACTTCGCTGCTTACTGGTTTGGACGATACGATTTGAGATGTCATGGTAATATTTGATTTGTTTGCAGGAACTGTTGTCATTACTGACGAGCTGCTCACTTGACTGATCATAATGAAACCGCACCATAATAATGACATTAGTCTTTTGCTAAATGTCAAAGCTGCTACTCGGTAGGCAAAAGCGAAAATAAACCAACACTTACTCATGTGGTACTTTCGATGCAACGGTAGGGTCGGTAGAAGTAAGGTCTTCTGGTGGGCATAAGTGTCAAACAGACGTTTGGCGATAGCATAGTAATATCATCTGAATCAAGATTTTGAGGAATAGAGTAAACGTTTCTTTGGTCATGTGTTCGACCACATGGAAGTACCACCAACCAATTGAAATATTTTCAATAGTAGACGACACAAGATCTGAAACATGCCTTGGCTATTATACTTAAAGGAAAACAAAAGCAATAAAAATTGAAGCAGTATAGGTGAAGCGCGAATGACTTAAATCTGTCCTTCTGACTGGTTTTTATGCAGAGAGTAATGAATCTATTTGGTTGGTCTCCTCAAAAATTTTGATTTTAATTTAATGTGAACGAGATTAGTCTGGCACTGTTTTAGACTTTTTACGAGACAATAATGATGGAAACGGACACATACCTAAGAATGAAAAGACGTGTGTCACGATGTCTTGTCTAGAATAACCGTTTAGTACTATCATAGAAATAAAATTGACAACGGAGTCGAGACAGCGTGGCTCCAGTTGAATTTCGTGCGAAGGCAATAGTGACTTTGAGTGCTGTACTAAAAAACCCGATTTGTGCACCAAGCAGAAGATTGTCGCACTAAATATTTTAACTTACATAGATGCCCACATCGAACTCCATGTCATTATCTGTTTTGAAAGTATAAATCAGTCAAGAAATGTGTAGAATATAAAGAGACTCAGGTTAGGGTTAATACGTAGCATTATACTTCGTATTAATCTATGTAGTATTAAGTATGGACTACAGATCACTGACTGTGGTGAAGCAACCTGTATTGCCGTTTGTAGCCTGTGACAGAAACACCCAACGATTGGGAAAGCGCACTGGAAGGCGCAACTTGATTCTTCGACATTCCTAAAGTACAAAGGTAGACATCACCCACTGAGTGGGTAAACGCGTAATTGATTAAAGACCTGACTTAATTCTTCGATAATTCCTAAGAGAAGCCCATGGCAGACATCACCCACTGAGTGGGTAAACGCGCAATTGACTTTGATTGAAGATGCGACTTGATTCTTCGATATTTTCTAAGATAAGATGTTGGCAGATATCACCCACTGAGTGGGGAAACGCGCAATTGGCTTGATTAAAGACGCGACTTGATTCTTCAATAATTCCTAAGATAAGTCCGTGGCAGAAAACTCCCACTGAGAGGGGAAATGGATGATTGACTTGAGCGAGATGCTAATACCGAGACTTCCCTTGATCCCGATATGTGTGGTATCGAGCAATTTGTTGGATTGACCGTAAAGCGTAAGTTGCTTGGTAGACTTTTAAATCGTCGTGAAAACAAAACTGAGCTTGTAGGATGAACAAAGCTTTACCCTGAGCCAATGGAGAGCCACTGATGTTGAAAGCTTAGCTGGGCGGAGGAACGTTGCTGTACTCCGAGCAAAAATTAAACCTGGTGAATTGTACCCCATTGGCGACATAAGCCCTTACGAAGGAGCAAAATTTTCCATTATAATAGAAAAGCGAACGGCACTCGCGATAAGGATCCGCAAAATGAAGTGTACCAACTTTCGCTCGAAGACTGGAGAATTCCATGTCAGTGTGCAAAATGTGCACTCGCAAACCGACCTGAACGTGAGCTTAAATGTGTAATTGAGACGGGTATAATGCCACGGGAAGGCCGGGTAATCCGATGGTCATAGCAGATGAACGTATTTAGTCTGAGATGTCACCGCACTGAAATATAGGTATTGACAATGTTACTAACTTGGGAACCACCGAAAAGATACCATAGTGTGAACACAAGGGGCCCGAGGCTGAGTTGTTGTGGATAACTTTGCGTTTTGGGAAGGCAGATCGAGTCTTTGAGGCTAATCTGTTGGAACAAAGCATTGCACGAAGTTGTACATGGTGGCAAGGCCGACGGTAACGGAACGAGTCGTCTAGTGAACGCACCCACCCCATGGCTCGTTCCAAGGATAATTGTGCAATGCTTGAGGTGTCTGATTGTCATATAGGCTTGTAATGCTTGAGTACACATCGTCATTCAAAAGTAGAGTACAGGAGTCCGAGGTGGAAGACTGCGCATTGGTGAAAGTGATCGATTGTCAAATAAGCTTGTTATGCCCAGTACACGTCGTCATCGTAATCCCGTGTGTAGTAGTTCGGTCGTGAAAAGTTCATGAACATGTGCGTCATTTCCTTCCCAGCAGAGACCGTAGCACTAGTAAGCAGGTGGGTACAACGTTGTTACCTCTTGCCGGTGTCGTGTAGTGCTATTAGTGTAAAGCTCTTCTAGTCCAGACCAGGATCACTCAGCGACGTTGACTTTGTCGACCAACACTGGGTGCTATTCTGGCGCTAGGTGCTAGGACATCGCGCAGTAGTTTCGATGAAATAACAACCATGTTCAGGGACTCTTCATGAGGACTTGACGTGGGTGGACTTGTCCATACGCAAAAATAAATCTACGATAAAATAACGATGTAAGCTTTTTAAAGCTTCACTGAACAATAACCGAATAGGTTGCGCGTGTGAAGCCTATACATTAGGGCTGAAACGGATGCGATATGAAAATAAAAGAAATCCATAGCAAAGTAGCCAAAACACTTGATATACCCAAGCATCGTTACAGTCGTAGACTAAAGACCTCACAATCGCGTGGAGTAATCGCGAATTATCACGAAAGTGATTGCCGCAAATCACTAGCAGTCTCCACAACCGCGTGAAGATTAAGCGAATTATCGTTCAGTCGATAACTCCAAATAAAGTAAGTTTTCACTTAACAAAACAAAGAACCAAATTAGTTCCGCATCCATTGAAGGATAAAACGAGTGGTGAAAATAGAGCCGTAGATAATAATTATGAGTTAATAAATTGCAAAGGCAGGAGTAAAGCCAAACAATTAACCCAATGCAAATAAAGCCAAACAATCATTCCATAGTGATCAAAGCCGATAATTTAATCCACAGTGAACAAGTGAAAGAGATCTTCGATGAAGTGACTATTCCACTCATGGAGAAAAGTAAAGTCGCACAGTGTGAAATCTGAACTGAAATAGTTCCGTTTCCGTTAAAGCCATAGTAAGGCTTGGCGAAGTTGAAAAAAAATCATTATAAATAATTGAATAATAACTCCACAATCGCGTAACGTCAAAATTAACTTAGTTGCGCTTTCCCAATGAAGAAAGCTCCAAAGCCGCAATAAGGCATAATGAAGCAGGAAAAAGATCATTAGAAATAATGAAATAATCAATAATAACTTCACAGCCGCATGAAGCTTGGTTCGTTCCAGAATAAGGAAAGAACTCAAAGCCTCAATAGGCAAAATAAAGCTATAAAGCGATCATTAAAGATAATGAAATCATAGATAATTTCACAACCGCGTGAATTCAAAGCCCACTTAGTTTCGCTTTTATGTGAATATTGCGAAAAGTGGATACTTAGACTAAAAAAATAGTATGCGCGATTTGGTGAAGTCCAATGTGTTTAATTTACAGTGAAAAGGCTGATTGGATCTTCACAAAAGTGTTGATTCCACTCATGCTTGAAATAATTAAGCTGGATCTTGTGCCGAGTAGCTGCGTGAGACCTTTAAAAGTTTGTTGTAAATGTAGCCGTATCATTGTGAGGCACTGCCTAAAGATGCCCATGAAGTGAAGACATGGCGCGTCATAAATGGCCTTATTGCGGTTGATCCATAGTGTATGAAAGATACAGCACCGAATAGGCAAAAGTGAGCAAAACTGGTGTTGTCGATAACCCGGAACAGTTAGGTCAACTAGAAATAAAGTTTGCTCCCAACGAAATCTGTTGTCAAAAATCCTTTCAAATGGGGCGAGGAATAGACGCCAAATACTCTTGGCTATATAACAATCCCAAAGTAAATGTTTCGGTATTTCCGTTACACCGTGAACACAATTAATGTCTTGGGTGTGCCAGCCAAATTTTAAGCGAAAGCTCAAGCCATTGTGTAGTAGTCGAAATAGAAGATCCGCGAATACGGGAAGAACATCCTTCTGTGGTTGTCGATGTGTGGGCCAGTAGTTAACAGGTGATACGATGTCGTTAATTCCCAATGGCTGTAATGGTAGTGGGGGGATAGTCTCTTGTACGGAGCCGTCTTATCAAGCCGTTACTGACATTGATTTTGTCGTTCCCTTCAAATGTCCATATATGGAATGCAGAGAGCAATTTTTCTGGGGGGGGTAAGGGTAGATGGCGAACTTGCTGTAATGAACTGGCACCGATAAACGCGGCGCTAGACTTCAAACAACTCGAGTAAGTGATCGAGCCGAATGAATTGAAGATCGAGACAAAGCTTCTCGAAGTGTTGCCGCGTCTGGTATCCAACCAAAACATACACAAAGGTAGCTATTCGAAGATCCGGTGGTGTTTGGCAGGCTCTACGGTGTAGTACCATCAAAAAATTTCTACCTGCAGTGAAGCGAAGGAACGTGTTGCTCCATAACGGCCAGGTCAATTTCGTAAATACTGGGTTAGTGTTTACTAGTTTTGGCAAAATTTTTGTGCTCCATAACGAAGATTCTTTTTGCCAGTATTGAGGGCACAACTTTTTAACGAGGTGTAGTCGTAGAAGCTTGGAGAGGTACGTAAAAAATCCAAGCCAAATCTCTGACCTTGTAGTGCGGTGTCAGAGGCAACTTGTGCTGGCGCGAGCCATTTAGGGATAAAGTCGGGTATAGCTCTACAGTGACGAATGAGCTGGCGGATTAAATTTACTTGCAGAAGCTCCACCGAGTTAGCCACAGTATGAAGGTCTAAGCCCCCAGCAATAGATGGGACGGAATGCCATTTGCTGGGAAATTGGCTTCGAATTGTTGAGTCGTGGGTAGATGTCGAAGGAGTGTTGTTGATAAAATTGCTCATAAGAGGATCGACAAGTTTTAATTCTTCATTGGATACCACTTAAACACTTAAAACATGCCACAAAATTGATTGAATCATTGTATTCAAGAGAAGTACCTGACCTTGGAGAGTGCGGGCTCTCCAGCGCCATGCTACACAAAGCCTTTGAAAGCGCAGGGGTAATTGGTTCATCTGTAAACTTGGTTGACATTGTTGTCCCACCAGTATACCCAAAAGCGTGGTGTGATGATCATTATTCAGAACCCGAGTGACCATGCCCCGCGGTTGCAATAGTAATTGGGAATCCGACGTGGTCCAGGGTCAAAATGGGAAAATAACAGTTTTGTCCATGTTGAGCTGCATACCGGTCGCAGTGCAGAATTCCTGGACTCTAGTGAGAAATAGTGGTGCTTTATGTAGATCATTGACCAAACCCGTAACATCATCAGCAAAGCTAAGAATGTGATAAGAGTTGTTTCAGATCTTGATAGAGAAACTCTGGTTTCGTGTCCGAGGGTAGCACAGTAGAGGTTCTATAAAGAGAACGAAGAGGCCAGCCATAGAGGGTCTCCTTGACAAACCCCGCACCCAAACTAAAGTAACGCGAACGAATGTTGTTAATCAGGACTTGTACCAAAGTCCCTTTGAAGAAAGTCGATATCCAATATCGAAAATTTAGTCAAAATCCCCAGTGATGAAGAACCATATCCAATACCTGCCAGTTAACACTGTCAAAAGCCTTTGCAAAGTCGAGGCAAATGGCACCGGCAGGTACGCGAGAGTCACAGTTAGTGCAATGGTTTTGAAGATCAAAAAATACCGCAATGGTCTCGACCGGGTACAAAACCAAATTGATCGTCTCCGAGAATTGCTGGTAAGACTTAATTGAGTCTAAAATCCAAGACTTTGGTCCCGAACTTGGCATCGTTGTTTGACAGCGTGAGAAGTCGGTAGTTCCATGGGCCTGAACGACTTCCCTTCTTGTGTAAAAGTGACAAATAAGCGCGACGCTGAAAATTAGTCATGCGTCCTAGCCGGAATTGAGACGCATATACAAGCTCTAAAACCAGTGCCCACCTGGAAGGAAATAATTGATAGTATTTCGCCGGTAAGCCGTCCGGTCCTGGGCTCTTCTTTTTCACCGTGTGCTTATTGGCGTAGTAAAAGTCATCCGCCGTTAGTGGGGCATCGAGTCCTGAAGTTTGAACAGAAGTGAGTCTCCGGCTGTTGTAGTTTAGTATGGACTTGAGTTATTCAACATCGAAGACTTTGCGCTGAATATTAAGGTCTCTTGTATCAGACTGGAATAGTGTGCCCCAATATTCACGGTGTGTTGACATGATGACGTCCGGGTCTCGCGATATTCCTGTGGGTGTGTCAACCGAGGAAAAAGGGAGTTTAAGCTCCGCCGCTGCTGGTGCCCGAAAGATTTCTTTTGAAGAAGTCTCAGCAGAGGCTACATCCGAGCCAAATTTTGACACGGACTTGCGCTCACGAAGTGTCATATTAAAGTCAGTGAAAGCTTGGCGAGTTTCTTGACAACGTAACTTGGTGTCGGCATTTGGATAGAGTGCGAACTATTGTTCTGCCTCCTGAAAATTAAGAAGAAGTTGACGAAGCTGAGCAGCCGTCTCGTGTTTCCTTTTAAATATGCTTTACTAAGGAAAATACGATCACGACGCTTGTGTTCATCCAGTAGACATCCTGGATTGCGAGTAGAATCCATAGAGTCAAGTAGGCGCTGTAAATTAAGGCCAAAATGGTACTGAGCATCTTCACACTGTAAAGGCCACGGCGGACACTTAAATGGTGCTTTATCCTTAAGTGCTGTATCAGAGGAAGCCAAAAATTCCACTGGAACGTGATCTCCTGGTCCAAGTTTCAATCCAAAAACATGACCAGAAGAACGAACGAGATTATCATAGAACTCCACACTTGTCAAGCAATAGTCGATTGTGTTCTTTAAATTTGGCCCTGTAAATTCCCTCGTGAAGGGGTGTTCGAAGCGCCAGAAATTCAGCAAACCCATAGAGATCATCCAGTCAAAAAGTTCAGGTCGTCCGTTATCGTGATGATGAAGATAGGACCGTGCTTTGTCGAGCTCTGGATCCATAGTAATATTCAAATCACCCTTTACCAAGTGGTATGGCGAATCATCAAAAGTGCGCGGTAAGGCGTCAAAAAGTTTTGGACGATCACTCAAGTCAACCGGTCCATATATCACGTGAATATAGATTTTTTTTCACACTAAGTTGTGCTGCGACGACCAAGTACCGATCCCTTAGTATTGGGTCGTCAGCAAAGTGTTGGGTGACATTTCGGAGTTCTTGGAAAGATGTGCGCCGCTGAAAGCAAGAGCAACCCCATTGCGGTTCTGGAATAAATTAGTGTTCTGGTTGGACCAGTAAGCACAAGCATTAAAGTTTGCTGCGTGAATACGCAGGATAGCTTGGTCTCTTGGAATGCAACCACTTGGTAACAATAAATGTCCTGGTACATTTGGAGGCTTGCTCAGTTTAAGCCGATGACATTGAGTGAAATGGCGTTAATCGTCCACCCTCCTTGATTAGAAGTGAATTTAAGGAGTTAATTCTTCAGAGGGGGATGGTTTAAGGCCTTGAATCTTGTGTACCAGAGTCTTCAAGAAGGCGGGGACAGACTCATACTGTGCCAAGTCCTTAGCAAAAGTGCTCAAACCCAGTAACCACAGGGTATGGTCTGATGAGAGGTGAGTAGTTAGACTGGAGAAATAGCGCGGGTTTTCTTCAGTCATAACCATAACTTTTACTGGGTCGTGATGGACTGAAGGCGCCATTATATGGATAACTACATCCCAAGCAGATAGAGCCAATAAGGCATCAGTGGCGCCCGGCATTATGGATTTGCCGTCTTTTAGGATGCGTTGTAGCATTGTAGTGCCTAACCTGTAGCGTGAAGAAGGCAAAGGTATCTTAGATGCCTTTAGTTTGCTACAGTCGTGGTTGGTCTTGTGGCTAACAATCCGCATATTGCTCGATTAAGAGCAATCGAGTCTAGCTTTTCCTAAGACTTAATGGCTCCCAGCATTAGTCCTGGATTTGCTTCGATTGTAACCAATTGGTCTAGCGGGGGTCTATTGCCAAGGTCCTGGAGGAAAGAATCGACATAGCTAACGAGCTCACCCCGAGTCATAGATTCAACCTCGTAATTAATGGTTAAGGGTGTTACCAATCGAACGTAGGCAGAATTGTTTTTATATATGGCAAAGTGCTTCCCAAGCAAATCTCATCGTCTTCAGATCGACATAATTCCATATCGAATTGCCACTTAGTTGTTTCAGGGTCCAAATTCCCTAGCCATAAAGGGCTATAGTAATTGGGCCTAGTCAACTACAGGGCTTAAGCCAAACCAGTAAATTCTTCAACCTCGTACTCTAAAAATTTTTTCCACAGAGTTTGGGTTGGAAATTGCTGATAAATCTCTACGGTTTTTAGCAACCTTCGCCCATACTGGAGCTGAAGGGTGCGATATCGGTGCAGAAATTGTTTCAGCCATTAATTAGGAAGGGGTCTTTTTCAAGTTCAAGATGATCTTTTTCC